AGGTGAGGCCAAATGTCTCTGCTGGTCCCCCAGGAGATATATTCAATTTTCAACTCAAGAGTGCAAGTTGAGGCATTCTCTTGGTGTACAAACCTATCCAAGAGAGCAGCTCATAGGACTGAGTGACAAGATTTTGAGAACTTGAGGCAAATGGAGGAATGCAATTCCTATACTGCCAAAATTTTACTACTTACTACTATGCCTCTTGAACTGATTTTACCTGGTTTTGTTCTGTTGAAAGTATGAGTGTTCATGTTCAGTTGTACCATTAGTAGGCTTAAGTATTCCATAAACATTGCAATATATAAAATATCTATAATATATTAGTGTTTGCAATGAGTTAACTTGGCACTTTAAGCCAGAATGAGGAAATAAGCAACTGGACAGAAGACAATTAAACTATCATATTGAGAAGTTTTATTTCCTCTGGTTAGCTGTTCGAAGTGCTTCAACTATTACAGTAACATTCATTCTTACCATTACCAGTTGTAGTACTTTTAATAAGATGGTACCAAATTACAAACCTCAAAAATGTTATAGAACCAACAGTTTACTGATCTTTTCTAACATGGCAGAATAATTTTAATTACAACTAAATGTGAAGAATTCCTTTAAGGAAAAGGGCAAAAATTATATATCACACATTGGACACCATAAAATGTAAGAATTTTGTGATGTTTTTATACATTGTACTTTTGTATAAAACTCGTCAGGGCATTTTTCTTTTAAGCCTTCTTTTGCATTGAACTACACTGATTTGCCTTCATCAACCTTTCTAGGCAACTTTGAACATTATTAGTTTTAAAAACATTATGTGGGTGTACAAGTTTTTCTATTATTTAACATTCAAGGTTGTGCAAACCAAGGTATCTCCCCAACTCATACAATTACAACCTTTTCCTTCAGATTCTATGGCAATGTGTGTTTTGCTACTAAAAGGAGAGTCACAGGTCACATGCTTGTTCTTCCTTCATGGAATTCTGCTTCCTCTATGCATCTACATTTTATTTTCTGCCAAGTGAGGGGGAGGCATGAAACATTAAACAAATGTAAGCAGCCGCATATAGTTTAACTGCATCTAATGTAAAACAGAATTATGTCAGAATAGTACTCATAATAGCCAAAAAGCTGGGCTAAGGGAATAGAGGGCATGCTCCTCTATATTAAAAGAAAACAGCACCAGGCAGAGGAAAGGAAATGTCATCAGGATCTCAACAGGATGGGGGTAAACCTTTGCCATAGTACCATTTTCCCACTTGATGGACCATAGTCTGGCAGGAGATAGTTTGTCTTGCACAGCCAAACTTGTAAGTATCATATGAGTACCTTTAAGTTTGTAGCAAAGGGCAAATAACCAATTCTAAATGGGGAAACCCTTGCAGAGTAAAGTAAGTTTTTTTAAAAGGCTATACTTCTCAGTCCCACTCCATCCTAATATTAATATAATCTTTTAAAACACTGAGATCCTGTTTGCAGAATGTCTGTGTTTATATTAAATTAAGCACAGTATATATTAATCAGGAAGAGCCGGAGCCCATATTGGTTACGGTAATAGTAATGCAGGTTCCTATACGGAAAACAGTTAACACCTGCATCTCCAGGTTCTTGCAGCAATTCACAAGGGACCCAGTTCGTTCCTCAAATCTGCTATGGTCTCCTGCTTTTTCACAGCCAGGCAGAGGTTAAAATGTCAGGAAAGTAACCAAATTTCCTTTTAGAAAAAGAGAATCAGTGTAAAGGTATGACACTCTTGTTTCCTTCCTGCAAGAGCTCCACCCCATCCCAGCATTAAAGATATTGGAAATCCTATGTTCCCATCAAAACACCTAATTTTGTCACTCAGCTGCCAGCTACAATTTTTCTCCATGTTGAACACTTAGACAAACAGTACTATTCTAATGGTATGTATAGCGTATGACTTGGCTCTCTAATGAAAGCATCATGTTTCAACATGTTTTCATTTGCTGAACGTGGGGGGAAAAAGCTCAATGAAAGCATCATGTTTCAACATGTTTTCTTTTGCTGAACATGGGGGGGGGGAAAGCTTGGCATTCCTCCCATGGTGACTGACGCACTGAGATTTGGTTTTCTAGTGTTCAAACATTCCCACAAGTTAGTGCCTTTCAAATAAAATAAGTGAGGCATAATAAATGTGGAAGTAGAGAAAATGTTCACAGTGATATACTGTACGTAAATGATGGTAGATCCTTCTATAGCTTGAACACAAGGAACACAATCTATTCAAGACTCATCCTGACAGTAACTGCACCCATGCATATCACCCAGAGGCCCTTCAGCTCATCATCACGCTCTGCCCTGTTTTTCCACATACCTTCCACACTGAGCTGTGATATGCTGTACAATGGGTTCAGGGCTTACTGCCAAAAACAAGCCAGGCGGTGTGTAATAAGAACACAAAATTCCAAATACTTTGTGCTATGAAATTACTTTGAGCAGGTAGAACAAAGTTTATCCTGATAATGCACTCACTTTTACTGATGTTTAAAGTATATATAACAACAGATCTATTTTGTTTATTCCCAGGTATGTTTCAATCTTTTATAAATGAAGGGCAAGAGCTGATTTCAAGACCAAAAGATGCTGGCCCTCCTACCCTTACTTCCCTGAAATATACTGCCAGAAGCATATTCTTCCTAGAGGCCCCCCCATGACCTCCAAAATCAAAAGTGTACATTTTCTTTTCAAAGAGCAGGCAGAAAAGTAACTGGAAAAAGTAGGAAGAGTATTATTAAGCCACAGGAAGGGGCAAGCTCACTTTTCCTACCGTCTTTCCCCGAAAATAAGACAGGGTCTTATATTAATTTTTGCTCCAAAAATGCAGTAGGGCTTAGTTTCAGGAGATGTTTTATTTTTTTCTATGTACGACAATCTACATTTATTCAAATACAGTCATGTCCTCTTCTTCTGGTTGCTGCACAAGGGTGGAGGGTGGGGTTTCACTTAACTGGGGCTTATTTTTGGGGTAGGGCTTGTATTACGAGCATCCTGAAAAATCATACTAGGGCTTATTTTCAAGTTAGGTCTTATTTTTGGGGAAACAGAGTAGTGCAAGTTTGTCTCAATCAAGCTTCCATCCAATCTGAATTTAAACAACTTGAGTTGAAACAAATGTGTCTCATAACACCACATGTAGCTTGAGAGATGCAGGGCTACCTGCGCATGTCCACTCAGAAGTTAATCCTATTCAGATCAATGGGCCTCATCCGAGGTCATATCAGGGGGACTCATCTGGATATGCTCAGGATTGCAGCCTAAAGATGTATTCAAAGCAGTACCCATTACATCCCAATTTCACTTTCTTGCAATGTGCTGATACTATTGTGCATTTCCCATATGTATGTGCCACTACTATCAGCATTTAATGATCTGCACAACTGTGCTCATGCAGTAAATACACGCATCTGCACTCCAGCAATTCTGAAGTTGTGTGCCAAAAAATAAACAAGAAATAAAGGAACCTTAAGATAGGTTTCGGAAATAGCCACATTTAACATCTGCCACAGGAAATTAGCAAAAATGCTATCAATATATTTAACAGTGCAAGGGTATCATGCATTTGTCAAAAATTTTAGGAACGTGTCAAAATGGGCAGGTGAAGAACAATGACAATGGAAATATTCACCCCTCCATATTATATGAGTTAATGGAGCATTTTACACATATAATAACCCCAAAACTTCAAATACAGACCACTACATAGTGAGAAACTACAGAATATGAAGTGGGCTGTGCCACTTCTCTGGCAGTCATCAATAGTACATTGAATCTCAAATAAATATTCCGAGAACATAATGTGTGTGACTGGTTTATAAATGGAAATTCAAATTTTAATCAAAGAAAAATGAGAACAACATGGTTATACACACATAAAATTCATAGGTACTACCATTGGGAAGTAACTGGTGATCCAGCTCAAAGAGAGACAATAAAAGCGAGATGAAAATGAAATGGAAATAACAGCAGAAAGATGTTGGTGTGGCACGCACCTTCTGTATCATCACGCAATTGCTCCACCAAATCTGTCAAATCCTCCCAAGAGTCTTTGCAAACAGCAAAAAAGGAAAAGAAAGAAAAATGTCATGCAAGCCATGATCCAAAGAAAAGATTGAAAAATCAAGATAAGAAAAGGAACAGAAAGGGAGCTTATTATACAAGATACACATTGAGGTGATTTAATATTCATTAGTCGTTTTAGTCTCTCTCTCTCTTTTTATTACACAGCAACATAGCTACATCTATTAAAACAAATGGAAAGAACAACTTTTCTTTAGCCTTTGGCTGTGATTAATCTGTGTAAATCAAATAAGAACTTTAAAATTTACCAAGAATATATTGAAAGTAAAAGGCTAAAAAAATTTAAATAAAGCCCTATGTTGACATTACAACAAAAATCTGATATCTGGTTCACTACACTAAGAATCAGGGTGGATAAAAATCAACGATTTTTTTTTTAAAAAAATAAAATTTAAATTGTGACCATATCCAGATTTAAATCCTGAGCATATCCAGATTTAAATCACAATTTAAATTTTTAAAATCCATTCTTAAATTTAAATCATGATTTAAATCGATTGGATTTAAATCCAATCCAACCTAAATCACAATTTAAATTTTTAAAATCCATTTTTAAATATAAATCATGATTTATATCTATTGGATTTAAATCCAATTCAACCTGCTAACACTTCTTCTCAGAGAATTGCTTCATAAAAAGATTGATCACCACGTCAACAGTAACATTCAGCAGAAGGTAACTAAAGTTGGTGGGAGTAGGATGATTTAGAGAGAAGAGAAGATACAGCTTGCCTTAAAATGCCAAATAACTGACCACCCTGTCAAACAGGAACCGAGCATAAATTGAAACATGATTCCGGGTTCATACTTACATTTTCTGTCCCTCCGTAAGGCCTAATTCAGACTCAACAAGTGGGTAAAGCAGCAACTTTACCAAAACAGCATTTCTTCCTCCTACCGGGCAGAGTCACCGAACACTGAAGGACACTCCCCTCCTGGCTTCCCTCCCACAGGAAAGCTTTGATTTCGCCCTTACTCGTGTATCAACTCAGGAGCAGCTGAGAAACAGCCACAAAAAAACAGCACCCTTCTTAAAGTGATCCAGACCATTTAAGACACACCACAGTTCCATATCTCAAGCCCGACAGCTAGCTTCCTGTTTTCACAGGCTAAATGCCTACTAATCCAATAGGACTGTTCAATTGCATTTCTTGCCACAATTTGGAAGACATCACATGATTTTCTGCATACAAAGGAAAAATTCAGAGAACTGAGAACTCAACAGGAATCCTCCTTTGATTTTAACCATGGGAGGTTTTTTGTCATAACAACATTCACTACAAAGTTATTGTTATGTACTGTCAAGTGGGAACCGAATGCAACCCTAACAGGGATTTCAAGGTCAGTGAGATATTTAAGGAGTGGTTTTACCAGTTCCACACTGGCAGTGAGCTTCCTTGGCTGAGTAGGCATTCGAACCCAGCCTTTCTGAGTCCTATTGTGTCATACTGAGTACCGTATCTACAATGTACTGCGGATTAAATCAGCACTTTGGCAGTGAAGACTTTTCTCTTCTTTTCTGACTGCTCCAACTTGCGAGTCAGAAAGCTTGAAAATTGCGTTGTTTATAATCCCCCTCCCAGCGAGGCAACTCACATTCTGCACCAAACACAGACTTCTGCAACTTGTAATGATCTTTTTATTTTATTTTACTCTGCCAGCCATGAAAATAGAGAAAGCCACACAAGACTTTGCTCTCTGACCACTTTAAAATGTTATTCAGTAACTCCTCCAGCTTTAACAAGTACCATCCAAAAACGTTGCAATGTCATAAAACATACACCCTTAACAAGATAAGAATTTTTACAAGAAAGGTTAAGTCTGCAATCAGCATCACACTCTATAAAACTGCAGCACACACACAACCCTGCAACCTAGGTAAAGGTAAAGGTTCCCCTTCACAATTTGTCCTGTTGTGTCCGAATCTAGGGTCCAGTGCTCATCCCTATTTCCAAGCCATAGAGCCAGTGTTTGTCCATAGACAGTTTCCGTGGTCACGTGGCCAGTGCGACTAGACACGGAAAGCCGTTACCTTCCCACCATGATGGTACCTATTTATCTACTCGCATTTGCATGCTTTCGAACTGCTAGGTTGGCAGGATGCAACCTAGGGATGTACATTCTATCTTATTAGTCCCTGAAATCTACACTGAAGCACTCTGAACATGATCAGTAAAGAAAACTCACATTAAAATGCCTGGTTGTTGTTGTTTAGTCATTAAGTTGTGTCCAACTCTTCGTGACCCCATGGGCCAAGTTCATGTTGGTCGCTTTGATGACACTTTCCAGCCATCTCATCCTCTGTCGTCCCCTTCTCCTCTTGCCCTCACACTTTCCCAACATCAAGGTCTTTTCCAAGGAGTCTTCTCTTCTCATGAGATGGCCAAAGTATTGGAGCCTCAGCTTCAGGATCTGTCCTTCTAGTGAGCACTCAGGCTTGATTTCCTTCTAAATGGATAGGTTTGTTCTCTTTGCAGTCCAGGGGACTCTCAAGAGTCTCCTCCAGCACCACAATTCAAAAGCATCAATTCTTTGGTGGTCAGCCTTCTTTATGCTCCAGCTCTCACTTCCATAAATCGCTACAGGAGAAACCATAGCTTTGATTATGTGGACTTTTGTTGGCAAGCTGATGTCCCTGCTTTTTAAGATGCTGTCTAGGTTGTCATTGCTTTCCTCCCAAGAAGCAGGCATCTTTTAATTTTGTGGCTGCTGTCCCCATCTGCAATGATCATGGAGCCCAAGAAAGTAAAATCTGTCACTGCCTCCATATCTTCCCCTTCTATTTGCCAGGAGGTGATGGGACCAGTGGCCATGATCTCAGTTTTTTGGTGTTGAACTTCAGATCATTTTTTGCACTCTCCACTTTCACCTTCATTAAGATTCCTGGTTACCTAGTTACAAATGAGTTTTTTCCAGTCTAGAAGAAGAAAACTTTAAATTAAATTTAATACATAAAACTAAGTACTGTACTGGAATCACTGAAACACATCCATGACTTTAAAAACACAATATCCAGTCTAATTTCATATTGAGGAAAGTACATTCAGTGGAGTAATAATTGTGAAACACATCCATGACTTTAAAAACACAATATCCAGTCTAATTTCATATTGAGGAAAGTACATTCAGTGGTAGCTAGTAATAATTGTTGCTGTTGCTGGTGATGTTACGTGCTGTCAACTTGCCTCCAACCTAAGGCAACCTGATGAACTTCCAAAATGTTCCATCTTCAGTAGCATTATTCATCTTTTGCAGGCTCAAGACTGCAACTTCCTTTATTGATCAATCCATCTGATTAGATCTTCCTCTTTTCCCACTGCCTTCAACTTCTCCTACTGTCTTTTCCAGAGAGTTTTACTTTCTCATGGTACACCCAAAGTATGACAGCCTCAGTTTTGTCATTTTTATTCCAAAAGAAGTTCAGGCTTGGTTTGATCCAACTTCCACTTGCTCCTTCTTCTGGCAGTCCAGGATAACCACAAAGCTCCCCTCCAGTAAGTAATGTCCATTAATGTACGATTTATCAATGTCTGTGAAGTTCCCAGGATAACCACAAAGCTCTCCTCCAGCAAGTAATGTCCATTAATGTACAATTTATCAATGTCTGTGAAGTTCTTTAAAAAGTTTAAAGGACATTTCAAAGGCATCAAAACTGCAAACCCACAAACAGACAGCAGTCCCCAGCACACAATTCTGAGCAGAAACTTGCAGAAGATTTTTTTTTTTTACTATATCAACCCTGTAGCAAAATATGACCAAGAGGGGCAACCTTTATGGTTCCCAATGACCATGCATGAGGCTATATGAAGGGCCAGAGGCCACAGGTGCACAGGGAGATATTTTAGCCACATGCCACACAAGGATTCTTTCCTAGTTACCAGTTACCTTTACCAAGAAGCTACGGTAACTATCCCAAACACTAAACATTAATTTAAAAAATAATCAAATATCAGCTTTAAAATTATTAGACATAAAACTGTAACTGCAGATTCTTTTTTTGAAGCCTTTCTCTGTTAAGTTAACAAAGAAGTTCATCACACAATGGATTCTAAATGAAAAGGATAATTTTTGGAAAATCTATCACAGTTTGATTGCATATGTCAATCAAAATAGTCAGCTTTTCTTCCACTTTTGCATTCAAATCTGCTGAAGGGCACACTTGATTAAAATTTATTAACTACAACACGTTTTGATAATAAGTTCACTAATATTTTATTGTTGCTACGTGCCATCATTATTTAAATTGTTATTTCTTATTGTTTTGTTGTTGTAATCATTTTTGTCTGGTTGTGTATGCTATTATTAACTGCAGAAGTAACACATAGCAAAGTATATAAAATCATATAGCAAAGTATAGCAAAGTATCTAAAATCAAAAGCAATTTTTCAATTATCTCAACAGATGGGTACAGGTCTGGCTGAGATTAAAGTCTATTTAGTTGATCATACCATTTTCAATTCATTTCACAGACAATCTCTTACGAGAGATCAAATGCAGTTCAGAACCCATTGAAACGAAGCTCTCTCTGTTTAATATTAGGAGCAGTTCTCTGTACTTGAGGACTAAGTGACAAATGGTGGCAATGGACCTAGTTTTCTCTCTAGCCAGTCCCACATTTCAAAAGCCCAGATTTCTTACATTTTTCTCAACCGCATTTGGCTAAACCAAATGTAGTTGCACTTGTACAAAAACGTTAGCCCTTACAATAGTTATGGCAAAATCATATCCAGATTAACTTTTGGACTCAGGGTGCTGAAACCCCAGCTCACCATCTTTGTGGGTCTACTAGGTTTCAAAACTCTAGTTCTTGTAGAATCTCAAATATGAGCGAAAATGCTCAGGTACTATAGTCTGTTCAACGGTTTTTGTAAGAAACAAGAGTTTGGTTGTAAATACGTTTTTCGGGCTGTTTGGCCGTGTTCTGGAGGAATCTCCAGAACATGACCAAACAGCCCAAAAAACCTACAACAACCATTCTAGCCGTGAAAGTCTTCAAGAAAATAAGAGTTTTTCACACCACCTCGGGGCCAGTGGAATCACATTCAAGAGGGACAATTTGTGAACTGTGCTAGCCAAGAAGACAA